CCAGGCGTCAAAGAAAACCCATTCTATGGAAGTTTGCAACGGAACAAAATAGGATATCATTCAGAACCTAATACGCCACTTTCTGGTGATCGTTCATTTTTAAACGACGACTCTATTATCAACGAAGTGCAGCAAATTCCAAGAATGCCTCTGCAAAGTAGTAGAAATGGATTTAAAAGATCTATAAGTGAAACAAATGGGTTTCCTAAACGTCTTAATTACAGACATTCGTTTAGTGCGGATTCGAGACCGCAAAATTTTACGAAAAAACCACATAAATGTTGCGAATGTGTTACTGGGATACCAGCAGATGAAGACGAACAATCATCTTCACGGCCATCTTCAAGGACTTTAGGGACGCTGTACGAAGCACCAGATCCTAAAGTAGGATGTCAAACAATACTACGATCAAAACCACCAGTGCCATGGTGGGAGCTGGCGATGAAAAAATCCCGTTACAAAAGTTGCCCCATTTTAGAAGAAGTGAGTTTTTTAGACCTTTTGTTATGTAATTGTATTTTATCATCATCAGCAGCCTATTAATGTACCCAATACTAGGGCACAGGAATTTGTCACGGATAGCATAGGGTGAATGGGCCACCACAATCCAGAAGGCCCACCACGCTGCAGTCCTAGTCCTAGTGAAGGTCGAAAGAATATCGGAGCTCTTACTACATTCTCCACTAGGACGGCAGCACGTGAGCCCCGTGTGGATTAGTGAGTACTAATGACTGCAAATGCAGCTGGGACAAAACGCCTTAACTTCAAATATACGGATAGTAAATTTTTGGCCATCCATAATCTAATTAATTTAAATATTAATATTTTCTTTATAACGACGGTTTGTTTGTGTATCACGAACTACGAGAAACCTCTTTTCTATATTGAAACTAATTTCAATTAAATTTTTCATGTAGATTTTATAATAAAATTAGAGTAATTTTGACGTATTGATGCTTTGTATTTCCGTCACGTTTAAATGAATCACTTTCTATGCTGTTAATTTTCATTCGAGGTGTGGTCCTATTCCCTCCCTTTCTTCGTTTAGTACATTGCTTCATAGCTTTGAAAGTAACGATTCTAATCGAAACACAACAGGGGAATAATATTAAATTTACGTAGCGTGTGTACTACCCACCTGACATTTGAAACGAGGGTGGATGGAACCGACATCCCTTAGTTCCGTTCACATTACTTAAAAAAATATTTTCAAAAGTCATTCATGTACTAATGATGCTTTTGTAGTTAGATAGTTTAAGTAGTTTATAATGGAATCTGTTAAACGAAAGGGCTAATTTATGTCAATTACATTAAAAGTCTTAGCTTTTATGTGTTCCCACTTGGACTTTTATTTTTATTATAAGTTTTTATTGTAACAGTTGTAACTAATGGTCATTGGGAACCTTAGATTAAAACAAAAAAGCGCTTTTGTTGTTTTAATCTATATTTGGGACACATCATTTTTGTGATTTAGTAGCACATGTGAAGCACTTTTTGATTAAAAAAAGCTACCTGCTACCTGAAAAGGTATCTTTTCATCTCGTCGGTTATTAGGTGATGTCTTTTTCGTTCATCATAATACCATTCCGTGCTATTTTAAGACTTTAACTTTAAGATTTGGTTCCCACGGTAGCGGCAAATAGAATTATTTTATCTTTTCATTTGTTATTTATTTACAATAATGCTATCGTCAACGTTATAATCTCAATGACGCATGATATATATAAAATACATAATTAGAGAGAAAATCATATTAATTATAAGCAGTAACTACTTTTTACTAAAGTACTATAACATTTTAAACTACATGCTGATATTAACAAAACATTAGTAAACATTCACCTTAATTCACTGTAAATATTTCTTAAAACATATGTTCCAATTCTCCGTACAACAACGTCGGATATTGCATAGCTAAGTAGGATTTATAGACAAATCCTATTTGGTTATGCAATTTGTATTATCATGATTGTGTGGGCGATTTGGTATCCATGACCATAGTATTGTTGTAGCCGCAAGGGACACCTTTGAACTTGAGCAATCACTAACGAGTTCTAACAAATATCAAGTTACTAACGATGCACCAAGGTGATTTGAACTTTAGTCTTTTATTGTTCATTAACATTACTTTTAACTTGGAGATATAATTTGTTTACGGGAAAGTCTATTTAATGACGTCCAAAATTCTATAGATTTCTGCATCTATTACCCAGTCGTTGTCTATTTTCTATCTATTTCTTGATACTTATTATTTAACTCATTAGCGTCATTGGTCATATGCCTTGCAATGTCTAGCGGGATCGAACTCACGATAACTATCTTCTCGGCACCCGAGACGTCGTGTCTCCTATTTTGTGGTGGCATTGGTGGATAGTTGACCACGACATACTTTCCTAACACAGCCGCATCCGCCTTACTTCTTGTAGGGCCTGTTTATGTGAGTATTGTTTCTCGAGAATCTGTATGATTCGCGTACATATTATGGTAGATTTTGTGAAATTATGTTTACTTAAATTTTCTTTCTTTTTTAATAAATTTCCAATACATGTATTTTGATGTTTTTTGTATTTCAAAATTTACGACTGATAATTGAAATATCTACTTATTCGTTTCGCTAGGAATTCTATTCGGTAGCTTTATATGTCAGTAGAAAGTGTAAACCGATAAAAATAGAGAACAAAGTACTATTGTGCATTCCTACTTATGGTTCTAGCCAATTTCATTTTTGATGGTGGGTTGGTAATATTTTAGTTGGGCGTCAACATAAATTGACCGTAGACGTACAGCCCAGATACGCTGCAACCGAATAAGGAAGAGTGCACTTGAACAAATAATCTCTCTCGTTGAGAATATTGTAGCAATCTCTCGTAAAATGTCGCTGTGGGACTTGGCGTGGGTTTTAAGTAACAACGTACCTTTTAATATGTAACACCTACGAAATGATTTTTGTTATATGCCTCCCCTGATATGTTTCACCAAAATCTGATGCACATTCTTAGTTCTCTAAATTGTTTTGGAGTTTATTTTGAATTGTAGTTATTGGTCTTCCTTATTAAGTTACTCAGTGTGGGTCTTACTTAGGTATTGGATATTTTCCACGTCCGTGCCGAAATATTAACTTCAATTTCCCGTTGCATATTTGTTGAATTTTGTTGGATACACGAGTATTTGTGGTTTCCATTGAATAATTACTTGAAAGTCGGAAGCTGCTCGTCGCTCTAACTGCATCCAATTGGTGTAAATGGTTGCATGCTATTGTGCCGAACTGTTTAAATGATTAGTTTTGAAAAGATATAGCGGATGAAATCATTCGTTATGCAATAACAACCTACAATTTACTTAAAAAAATACTACGCTTTAATATGTGCATACTACCATGAATTCCATGATTATGTTAATTATGAGTTCATCGTCCTTTGAACTTCATGTACATTGTTTATTTAGCTTCATAGACAACGTTTAATTCTCGACTTATACCTAAATTTCTTTTTTATTCTCTTTTTCTGGCTGGCGGATTATAATTCTTACTATTTTAATTGCGGTATTGAGCCAGTGTGCTTTTTGGTATCTGCAGCTGTTTACCAACAATTAGTCAGCACCTGTTTGCGAGTTTGTGGCATTCCAGGGCGCTCGATTAAATGGGACTAGTAAGAAAACTTGGCTTTCTTGTGTCAATGCACTGCTTCATCACAAACTGTGAGATAAAGAGTTATCTGACACAGTTTCTGGGGTGCAATGACATACCATATTAGTAGAAGTGATAAATATTCTATTACTCATTAGAAAAAGTACTCGCACCAAGTCAACCTATTTGATATGCACATGGGTACTATATAACATACTTATTGTTTTAAGTTAACCATTTAGGAATCGCTTTGAAACCTTTGTTGATTAGAACCTAATTGACGATTGAAGTGACTGAAAGAAGCACGGATGGAATTGAAGTTTTCTTCGGTGACATTTAAAATGGCACATGCAAAAGGTGTGTCCCTGGAAGATGTATCAATGACAGCCGGATACCTTAATTGGCTAAACCGTGTGCACGCAGCAGGTGAATTACCCTATTAAAACGTGTATTTTTACATTAGAGACCGGCAATGCTCGAAACGGTTCTACGATTAAATTATTGATTCAGCTTTCGTCCGCCGGGTATAAAATACATAACGTTAAAAGTAATCCATGTTCACGTAGTCGAGGTCGTCACACCCTAACTTTAATTTTGCTGAGTGCGTTCCTGTGACGTTGCAAACAAAGGGTCCTTTTGGATGGACTCCACCCACGACGGCCATTACCGTCCTATAAAGTGATTTATTCACATGACTCATAATACTCATATTCAAAATGTTTATAGCTTATCCTGCATCGCGTAACATGATGTAAGTAATTATTTTATCATCGCGGTACATTTAACTGGTTTCTCGGTGTACTCGATGAAGCCTGATAATGGCATGGGATGTTGATCTGGATACATACTAATCTCACTATACCAGTAACAGAGGTGTTTTAGAAAGATTTGTGTCGGTTTGTGGTCATATCTGATTACGCTGGAAGAAATCCCAGTTATTTAACTTGTGAAACTAGTTTTAAATATTATTGTAAGATAATGTCTGCACGTTAATTAACGACATGCAAAAGGGTATTACACCTACGTGTTGTTGTTAGACTGTGTGGCGCCTGTAGATTACATATTATATGTATTATTAGGTTTATACTTTGGTCGTAGATAAGATAACATCGACTCAGGATGTAGCAATTAGTATAATAATGCCCTCGGAAATCAAAGAGAAAACCTCGGTACTATTATATTATTGTGTCTTTGGAAATCTACGTTGCAATTACCAAAATACTTAATTGATAATTTTCCAAAGTTAATTATTGATCAAAACTTTCATTACTCATATACAAAGCATCCTTTGTATACCTTTGTGTAGTGTACACTATTGTTGGTTCAGATCTATTATAAACATTTTAATAACTCTTTCACATTTCCGTTGTTGCAGGCGCATGTGGTGTCGGCTTTCGAGCAGAGCCTCTCGAACATGACCCAGAGGCTGCAGCAGCTCACAGCTACCGCCGAGAGAAAGGTAATAAACCCGTTTTATCGCTTTAGAAATTTTAAGCTCGCTTCTTATCTCATCAGTCGCAAGATTAAATTTTATAACTCTGCCTTGAGTTACGGACTATTAAGATTCTATGGCATTTTTGTTAATTTGAATTATGTACTGCTGATCAGGTGAATTTCACCAGTAAAGTTTTCTTACCAAGTAAAGGTTATGGCTTAGGTAAAAATGTTCATTATAATTAGGCTATGCGAGAATAATTTAACTTAGAGCGGATATGTGGCGCTTATTAGTGATCTGTGTTATTATAACAGAATCCGTTTAACTGGCATTGTAATTCAAATTTTACCTTATTTGTATGCAATTCTAACTTTACAAATCACGTAGAATTTCGATTTCTCCCCTCTTGCCATAAAATACGTTGAATTCAGTCCTAACTGCATAGAAGAGACAGAATCAGAAATACATTGATAGCTTCACATTTCTAATTTATCCCTCGCTATAGTTATTGTGGCACTATTTATTCCACTTGCAGTAGTTAATTTGTGAGCGAGGATTAAACTATTTATGATATGATATCTTATAATTACCTAAGATGTACTTCAGAATTTTTCATTCGTAATTTTTTTGTTGCCGGCAGGATTCGGAACTAACTGAATTGCGACAAACTATAGAGTTGCTTCGGAAGCAGTCCATTCAAGCTGGATTGACTACAGCGCACATGCAGTCCATGGGTATACGAGCCGATGGTGTCAATGTTACTGGACAGGTAAAATTTTAAATTTAAATTGATGTCTTCACAAACGTCATAGTTAATTTATTATACTTACAAGTGAGTGCCCACGACTTCGTCTACGTGGAAAAATTGAACTCCGATATAAACTTTCACCACCCCTTTACACCACTTACTGAGGATAATTTCTGGGAAAAAACAATCCTATGTCCTTTCCTGGGCCGCAAACTATCTCTATACCAAATTTCATCATTAGCGGTTCAGTGTTTTAAGCGTCAAGAAGAAACATACAGACACACTATCACATTTATCATAATAGTATAGATTATACGATTGTGGTATTTAATTATAAATAAACCCATAACAATCTCTTAAAAATAGCTATATTCTAATCATTTCCACAAGATCTCATAATGTAAGGTCATGTAGCAAAGTGGTCGTCCGACGATAACTTGATTTCGCTTTACCAAGAACATTAACGTCTTACTAGCGTCTTTCATTTCAGGTTCATAAACTGAACCGTGTTTCTTTAATAACTAAATGCCGGGAGATCTCGCTATGAAATTCTGTATGTGGCATTTTATGACGTTACAATAACAATTACCTTCTTTTATTGTATTGCATAATGTTGGTTTTAAAAATTTAAATGGCCTGTATCGTGAATAATGCATGCGTTGTCCGAATAATGGGTCACACCTGTCTCGTTATCAATCATTGACAATTATAAAACAGCAATTTTAATCCTATGATGAATTATGAACTTATTCACAATAGCGTAACAAGTTTAAGTTTAATACCTTTTGAAGCTGCTTTAATAGAAAGTAGTTCGTTTTATTCTTCCAAATTATAAAACTGTGAATACTTTATCCCAATCCTAGCCAATATTATAAATGCAAAAGTGAGTTTGTTTGTTTTTTTGTTACGCTTTCATACCTAAATCACTCAACGGATTTGGATGAAATTTTGTACGCATATAGTTTATGACCTGGATTGAGACATAGGATACTTTTCATCCCGGAAAAATATAAGGTTCCTGAGGGATTCAAAAAAAATACTTAAGTTAACGCGGACGAACTCATGGATTAATCTTTAAATTAAGTTAAGGGAAAATAGTCGAACACAAAAGAGGGACGGAATAAGAGGCTATGACGCAAACGTCATACACCAATACGCATCACAAGAGGGATAGCAAGCTACTCCTACCACGCTTTTCTTCCTTTGATATAGGTGTCTTTAAAATGCTAAATGCTGCTTTATTTTTCACAAAAAGTTATCACATAGTACAGGTCTGAATGCTTATTCAAACATAGGTTCTTCTCTCTTAGGGCCTTCCATTTTCGATAAATGCTTCAAAATATATTTGATCGTTAAAGTAATCATTACGTTTTTGTTATGAAATAACTTAATTGTTATAACAATTATTATTTTTCTCATAGCCGGAACCAAATGCTCAAACACAGCAGTCATCTCCGCAGCGTAACGCACAAACAGGCAACGGCGCCATCACTAGACATCTATCAACAGACAGTGTATCCAGTATTAACAGTCTTAGCAGTGGTTCATCAGTCCCTCATGACAAGAAACATAAGAAGAAAGGATGGGTGAGTGACAAACAATTATCTCTGTTCGAAAATTATAAACAAATACTTCGCAACTCCTTTTAAGAATGACTGATTTAAAATATCGATAGATTTGGAACCCCGTCGTTATAAATTGGTGTCATACACCGATATTTGCATATCTTTTTTATCTTTATTTTTCAATGAGGTTTCTTTCTATGTTTGTGATTCTTGAGGCTCTGGTATTTTGGGACTATCGCGTCATCTTCACGACATAATAAAACAAATGTTGGTGACCATGAACGTTTAAACAATATGTTACACGTTCGACAAAAATAAGTTTTTAAACCGGTATTTTATACGGAACTGACAAGATATACTTAATGCGCGACAATTTTGTAGTATAGCATAGTAATGATTTAGCCTTTGATACATACATAGTAATAATTTAGACTGATCCACGCAGGGCCGGATTTAGGATTGTGGAGGCCCCGGGCCTCTTAGGATTTGTATTCTTGTTAACCCATCGAAATGTTATTTCTTAAGCCGTTGTGGAGGCCCCTGGGCCACAGCCCCACCTGCCCTGCCTTAAATTCGGCCCTGCGGGCAAGTACCACCCCACTCAGCCATTAAGCGTTGGGGTACTCCCTCAAGATGGGTAGTGAATTGGAAGTGCTTATCAGGGCCATTTGAGATTTTGATATTTCACTGATTGCCTGATTGGAGTGAACAAATATAGATCAATGATTTCTGTTATTTAAGATTAATATAATCAAATAATCATGTATGTTAGATGTACAGAATACTGTAGGCTGTAGGTAAAGGTAAAAGAGCAAAAAAAAAAAATATCAAAGGAAAAGATGTTTACTAGTGTTTACTAGTTGGAATTTGAATGATTTTTTTTCCGAAGTCTCTATTGTGGGGGCCCCCCGTTTGTGGAGGCCCCGGGGCCTCATTTTACGCGCAATGGTTACGTGACTCTAATGTAAGATTGTTTAAAAGCAATCAACGTGTGCGTGTGTAGCGACGAGCTTATCTACCATTATTTAGTAGATATTTTTTGGGGCGCTTCTGTGCAGTATAGGATTTAGCAAAGTACTCAGTTTAAAGTCTAACTGCATTTTTGACGATATTTGTCTGTTTATTTTTTTGTAAAATCATGCCTTATCATGCGGGTTCTAATAAAAGTCTGCTCATGTTACCGATGCTGTGTACCTGATCAGGCTTCGGAAAATTTATTACTAGCCTTAAGGAAAATAAAGAAAATGAGGTCAAACAGATGCCAATGTCGGCGACGACATAGTAACTTATTACTTGAATATTAATCTATGCCTGCAATCAACGATTAGGTTAAATTTAAATAGTCCTCGATACTCGTTACTATGATTAAGTAGAAAATATAGTTGTGATTTGGGCGAATTAAAAGAGTAAGATTAATTGCTTCCTTTAAAAACACAAAAGAAGCTTTATGGTCTGCTACCTTATATAGCTGCTGGTTTTTATAGAGTAAATAGAGTTTTCAGAGCTACACAAGTTAACAAAATAGTTTTCAGGCCTTAAAGATGAGCGCAGTTGAAGCACTAAGTTTTTCTCCCCATTCCAATTTCAAGTAGTCGAACTATACCTACTCGAAAAATAGGAAACCAGCTCCGGTCTCATAGAAGAATTATGTTGTTTTACTTTACCGATAGTAATAAATTCATATTAATCGCTTAATTTCTGTATGTAAAAAACCATATAAAAAAATTAAACCAACTTTAGAGGGCGATATTTTGTCGGTCGTTGCGCATTTTGTTGGTTTTAAGGATGCTCAACTAAACGGAAGCGTTGTTTCCACGAGAACCCAATTATCTGCTTTACACAGTCAAAACTTAACGGTGACTGAACATTACAAAGCTGAATATTACTGCCAGTGTTATTATTACTAACCATGTTAGTTGATGATTGACTGCTTGTGATAGTTCGTTTTGTTTTGAGTGAAACTTATTTAAAAATAATATATATTCAATGGGCTTTAGAATTAATAAACGACGTTATTCGCATCAAATTCGCCGCGGGGTGCGAAATGTAAAGACGTCAAGTTGTACATTGATGACGACGGTCGATGAAACGGTCATAACCATAGACTTTATTATACGAATAGACAACACGAAACTAAAATATTTACTTTATCACTAGTGTTAAAAAAGGTAATATGACAATTACCTTTCAATATTTGATTGGCTTTTCTATCAAAATTTACAGTACAACTGTGATTTTCATTATGTATGTTTATCGTAAATTAATCTTCTACTTTATTGCTATTTTTTATCTACATAATAACAACATCAATATAATACATCTAATAGCTGAATATCACGTCACCGTTTATTCTATTACTAGTTTAGGTATCATTACCTAATACATAATAGCTACAAGAAACCTTTTAACGTGATCTGTGATTTCTATCTAATATAGTTTCTTAACTAAAATTACTCAATAACGTCAGTGTTTTCCGACAGCTCCGTTCGTCGTTCACCAAAGCTTTCTCGCGAAACGCAAAGATATCGAAGACGGCCAAGCATTCCTCCCTCGGGCAGTTGTCCTCGCAAGACAGCTCGTCGGGCTCGCACCACTACGACGACCCGCACACCATACGGGAAGGCAGCAACGAGAATAGTTTGGAACATTCTCACGAAGCTCTCAACGAGAAAGTACAGGTAAGCACTAAGAATGTACCTTGCAATAAAAAAGATACTATTAACTAAGTATTCGGATGTACAAAAGACGATACTCGAGTTCGGGCACCCGAAGCAATATTTTCACTAAAATACGGGCTGGAAGACGGTGTCGGGTAACCAAAACGAAAACAACTCGAATACGGGCGTACTCGACTTGTTTCATTTAAACTTAGTCGTTTACCCGAATTCCATAGGCAATCGTATTCGGGCTAACGACCAAGTGTAATTAAGCCATAACTCCAACTAAACTAGCTTAGCAGAAAAGTCTGGAAAGCAATAGCTAAGTAAACTTGATAGAGGAAATTAAGATTAAGCCCAAATGCGTAACGCGCAGTGATGGTATTGTGTTTAACAGCCAATATATGTATGAATTTTCCTTTGTGGCACACTAGAGACCAAACGCATGAGGACACACGTCAATCGATTCGTCTTATTCAATAAATATTTACGTATTGTTTATCTCTTCGACCTCCGTGGCCGAGTGGTTTGTACGCCGGGTTTCATGGTGTCGCCGACTCGAGAGGTCCCGGGTTCGAATCCCGGTGGGGGCAGATGTTTGTGTGATGAATACGGGCATTTGTACTCCAGCCATGGATGTTTAATATGTATTTCTATATAAATATCCGTATATATGTGCAGTATATGTATTCTATCCGTTACCCTAGCATCCCATAACACAAGCCTTACAGTGCTTACTTTGGGGCTAGGCTAATTAGTGTGAGTGTTGGAAATATGTATTAAGTATTATTATTTATTTATTATCTACTTGAGTAAATTTCATATAGTAAGGATACATCACAGAATTGAAGTTATGTCAGTTATTATTGTTATTGTATTCTTTAAGCACATATACTTTATCAAATATGTGGAACTAGATTTAAAATTACATACATTAAAATTTAATGTTCAACATATTAAGTTACACTAATTAACAAAACTGATACTATAACTCAATAACAAACATGTTGTTAAAATCTTCAACGTTTGACCTATAAGTATTAAAGATCAGCCGATAAAAGGAATAATATATCATTCAGAAACGGTTTTATGTTTAAAATATACTATCAATGCTCGCTCATACTACATCATAATCAAGTACGTTTAGAGCTTGTTAGTAACGTTTGCCAGAAATTTGCTTAGACTAAATTCATTACAATAAAATATTATGTACCTACTTTAACAAGATTACAGAACAACAGAACTTAGAAATCATTGAATATGTCCTTATATTAAATTCAAATTGAAGCAAAAATTAATTAAACCAATGGTAAGTGGCACATCAACCTTTATGTTAAGTTCCTGCATGCGTAAAGGGCAATTTTAATAAATCTGTTACTTTTACTATTTACTCGGGACGGAATTATGGATATTGAACATAAGGATTTACAAATACTTTCGAATTTCTTCAAATATCATAAATAGTTATTAAGGTTTATTAGGATGTTTGAGATTTGACAAAATTCTGAAGTCGTGTAAAAGTCATGATATTTAAATAATAATATAGATAATATAATTTTATTTATCATGTTAACAGAACTTTTAATAACCTGTTTTGTTGGCTCTCTAGGTAACCTTCAAATCTTTTAAGATATAATGATACTCAATAACTTTATTTTGGATTTGCATAATGAGATTTTATAAAGGGCAATGCTTATTTTCAATGTCTTGTTGCAAAATATACAATTTTATTGAACTTTAACAAAAAGCCATCAGGAAACGCAAAAAATATGAATGCGTTTGTTTTTCTTTCACTGCCGGTAGAGCATCGAACGCAAAAAAAAACCTATAACCTACGTCAATTATGAATAATTTGTGTTATTAGACTAACTTGACATTTGAAAAATATTAAAGGTCACTTGCAGCAAATTTTGTAAAATTCAATTCATTCAATTTATGTAGTACATCGAAAATTCGCAAAATTGCTGCAAGTGGACCTTAGATATTGAAAATAGCCGTAAGAAGGCCACATAAAAACTTGTTGAAACCTCAATTTTATTAATAGCAAATCATTTTCAGACACTTCTTTGATTAGCTGCCGATATTTCTAATCGTCCGTAAATTATACAAGCTATGAAAGTCAATATCTTTTACTTATATCTGTACCGGTTGTAATGTTAATTGCATTACATTCGGTTTCGTTTACATTACTATAACATATGCTTATAACTTATCCACGCCGCCTGTATTAAGTTACTAGATGACCTACATAAGTATAGACAGCTTATTAATTACTTTGTATCGTTTTTTGTTTGAGTATTTATCGTGATTATCATAATGCGGGTTATATTAACTAGTCATTATAAAAATCATGTGCAATTATAAAGTAATTTGGTACTGTATTAATGATACATAAATGTATTTTTTACAAAATATAATTGACCTTAAACTCTATGGATATTACTGACGAAAAGTATCTTATAATATTCAGTTATTTGTAAGTATATGTTAGATTTTGTATGTAAATCTTGTATTTTCTTCAAGGACAAAACAACGTGTCCCACTACGAAGCCAGAAGAGCAGACCAAAGGTGAGATTTTGTTGAGCAAATAATACTTTTAGTTTACGTAGCCTCTTAGCAGCATTAACATGACCCAGAATAGTTGCCTCTAGCTACCATCGACTCGAACCGACTCTTGGGCTAAAGGTCGCTTTTCAGGTTGCGTTGAAAACAATGGCCTCTACTTTCTAGCGCGTTAACTATAAAAATACGGGACAACGTCTTAGTAGACGTGGGGCTTTATGTGCTATATAATAAGTAATATATTTGCATGCAAATAATTCTTAAGCTAATTTATTAATAATATGCCATTGTTTTCGTCATCGTGTACAGTTTTCTAGTTTTAAACTATCTGAAGGTTTATAAACTGACTTTTATCATCTCATCAGAAAGATATTTAATGAATATTGATCATAAAACGATGTAATTTAATATCTCATCAAAGAACATTCCTAATGCACCCCAGCAACTTTAGTATTGTAATTAAACCCCGGGCAGAGAAAAATTACTTGTCTTGGAACCTGTAACGACAGTAATTAAGAGTTTAATAGCTTTGAGAATAGAGCAAAAGACTGTTCCAAGTCTCTTTCACTAGATTAAAGGCATGCTATTTGTAATAGATAATAAACCTGATGAGTCCGGTTTAGTGGATGAACTGAAGAGGCAGCTGCGGGAGAAGGATCTGGTGCTAACTGACATACGACTGGAAGCTCTGAGCTCTGCACATCAACTAGAAAGTCTCAAGGACACCGTCATCAAAATGAGGGTAAGGATTTTCGTATGTCCAATATTAGAGACTTTACTATTGAGATTCAAATAGTGCCTGTTTTTTTTGTTGCATCTAATCACAGTAAGTAGATATTGAATCCAGGTGTGATTTTTTTTTCTTGTTTTATGGTAAATTAATATAGAAAACTGGCTAATCCCGAGTCTAACATCGCCCTATTAAGGTTCCGTAAACTAATTTGTTTGTATTCTTCACAACTTACAAAGTGCATTAAAATCGGCGTTTTCAATATTTTAAATACAGCATAATGGGATATCCTATACCAAAATTTCATATTCTTAACTAGTTTCGATTTAGGTCTATAAATGACAAATTTGACGCCCCCCCATTTGTTATTGAACATAATAAATAATATAAATTATATTTATATCTCACTCAACCAGCTAGCTAGATAATTATTTGTCACATGTTGGGGTAAAAAAGAAAAAAATGTGCTTTTTTATGTATGCATAAAATCCTAATAATCTAATTTATTACTAAATATGAAGCTCTGGGCAAAATTATAGTTCTGTAACTCATTCCGTTTACGATCTGGAGACCCGTGACATACGGACAAATAACAGACATAATGAAAGCAAAACAGTTCCGTTTTTACCCTTTGGACACGGAACCCTAAACCGATACATCTTTAACGTAAACGCATAAGCAACGTACGTTACGCATAACAATTCTTGAAAGTTTTGTGTCTTTTATGAACATGAACGCAACAGCATTTAAAATTATTATTCATATCAAAAATATATAAAGATTACATACAAGTTTACTCACTTTCCGAGTTTTTACAAGCTTGTATTTACTTTCACCTGTCCGTTATATGCCTGTAACAAAATCTTGCACACTTTGAAATCTTGTTAAATTTGACACACTTCCTGGTTTCCGATTGAGCTGAAATTTTTCACTAATACGTATATCGCGTAACAAAGCAATATTATAAATTTGCATGTAGCTCAAAAGTGACCATTGGAACTAATGAAAAAACGACTCAACCCCATCAAGTTTGCACTTGTTTGATTCGTATTGATGAGTACTATGGTCCTAATAATATACTTTTGCAACCCCATCAGATTCGGGAAAATAAATAAATTAAGTAAATAAGTTACCTATGTGAATTCTATTTCATTATAAAAGCTTTGTTTCAAAATGTTTCTTGATTATAAATTACTCCGTTCAGGTAAATGATTCTAAAAATCGAATCACGTATATTTATTCACATCACTTATACTATGTACCTCTATTAATAATATCTTGGTGATGAGAAAAATGGATGCAATTTGCCCTTGGCATGAAACTTTTTTGTATCTGATATAATCTAGTAAATATTACAGAATAATATTAAAGCATACATTTTTCTAACATCGTAATCTAAGCCAACATATGAAAATTACATCTTTGCATAGGTGAACTTAAAATATGTTATATATATTTTATATACATTGTTATTAGGACAATTACAATGTCGAAACCGTTATACAAACGCAAAAACCAGTATGTTTACTTCGAAAAATGACTGTGACATTAAAACTATTATGACCTTATTAAAACACTATCCGTTCCGAACCTCAGACACTTATTACAAAATCGTTCACAATAGCCTTTCGTTTTTATAACAATGACTTCAAAGTCGCTTCTACATTAATAATTTTCCTCATCTAATTTAAATATCTTGTTGTGGCCATGTTTTATTATTTATAAACTTTGCTTTAACAGGCAAAAAAATAAGTTGATGAAATTCTCTTCTAGAACGAAATGCTGAACTTGAAGCAGAACAACGAGCGGTTACAGCGGCTAGTGACGTCACGATCGCTTGCCGGCAGTCAGAGCTCGTTGGGCACTGGCGGCTCTGCAGTGGAAGACCCGAGGAGGTTCAGCCTCGCCGACCAGGCTACTATGCACCAGGTAATAGGTCACAAGAGATTAAAACAATATGAAGCAGAACAACAAAGGTCGCTTATAACGGCTGATGACATTACAAGCAGTCAGAGTTCGTTGGGCACAGGCGGCTCTGCAGTGGAAGATCCGAGGAGGTTCAGCCTCACCGACCAGGCTACTATGCACCAAGTAATTACTCATTAGAGAATGAAACAACTTAAAGCAGAACACCAAAGCTGGCTTAAACGGCTGATGACGTCACGAGCAGTCAGAGGTCGTTGGGCCCTGGCGGCTCTGCAGTGGAAGACCCGAGTAGGTTCAGCCCTGTCGACCAGGCTACAATGCACCAGGGAAATAGTCAATAGATAATGAAATAATAGATAATGAAACAACTTGAATCAGATCAACAAAGGTAGCTTATAACGGCTGATGACGTCACGAGCAGTCAAAGCTCGTTGGGAAATGACTGCTCTGCGGTGGATGCCACTAGGTAATGAAACAACTTGAAGCAGAACAAAGAGCGGCGGCGGTGACTTATAGTGGCTAATGACGCCACGATCAGTCAGAGCTCGTTGGGCACTGGCGGCTCTGCTTTTTTGTTGCATACATACACACACTGCATTTTTATGAAAATATTTTTGTGTTTTGTTAGATTTGCATTTACATTGCATAAAGATAAGATGTTATCTTGTTTTTGTGTAAAACCTGAAAATAGTAATTCCTAAGATATAGAATAAAACAAAAACAACTTGTGAAAATTCAATTAATCACCGACTTCACTGTCATATTTTTGTTTTCGTGACAGTTGCCTAATTTCAGCCCAATAAAGTACATATATAAATTTCTGATTTGTCCGCAGGCGGCGATAGACATCCACTCCCAGCCGTTAGATTTGGACTTCAACTGCATGACATCGACCCCTACTATGGACTTCAAGAAAAACTCCCCAAACTCTACTATGGTGGAACCTATATACGGGAACAAAGCGGTGTGCGAACTCAACGAAAAGAGCGAAGCTTTATTAGGCGCTTTGAATGGTTCCAGTGATATATTTACGAATGGATTGAACGCAGGCGAGAGATTGAGCGGGGATTACGATATAAACGCGGTGCTACCTCCTCCTAAAAGTAGAGAATTAGCGATAGGTGAAAGTTACTCCGATATAGGTAAGTTTAAGTCAGTGATAATAAATTTTCAATCTAACCAAATTTTACTGGACGAATTTGTGATTTAGTATTAACTTAACTGTAATCTCTTTAAGTTGCACATAAAATTGATATTTTTGTTGTGAGTTTAAATCGACACAAACCTATTTCTTAGGGGTCTTAACACTTAGAAAAATAACTTTTTCCCGTATCTTTAGTTAAAATGGTTTTGTGTCACCAAATGTTCACTGTAAAATAATATTTTCATTTATTTGTCAGGTGTCGCCGATAGTCAGGGAGACACGACAGATGGAAAGAAAATAGCAATAGCCGTATACCTAGGACAACCCGAGACATTCCAAAGATACTTCGAAGAGGTCCAAGACACTTTGACCGAATCCGAATGCAGGTTCTATGCGAAGCAATCAGCGAGTGCATACAACAACCATTACGAAAAACAATCGAGCTTCGACTCTCCACGAATGTCACAAACGCACAGCCCCGAAACGGAAACTCAAGAATTCCCGCAAATAAATAAATCCAACACGAATAGCCTTAAAAGCAACAAGTCAACGCACAGTAGCTCGTACAAAAACGTTTACAACAGTGACTCGACAATAAACTGCAATGAATTCACTATAGCTTACACATACATATCTGGCAAGACCACTTGGCAGAATTTAGATTACATAGTTAGGAAGACTTTCAAAGATTATTTATCCAGGATAGATCCGGGTACGAATCTGGGTTTGAATACTGATTCTATAACGTCGTATCATCTCGGAGAAGCGACTAGAGGCCCTGAGATCGGTTTCCCGGAGTTATTGCCTTGTGGATATATAATAGGCACTGTTAATACGCTGTATATCTGTTTGCAAGGAGTCGGCAGCTTGGCCTTCGATAGCCTTATACCAAAAAATATTGTATATAGGTGAGTACCTACACTTTCAACAGTTTTTTTTTATATAAGCTTAGGTTTTTATGAAAAATTCCACGCGTGTTTTGGTATAATATTAACACCATACAACCGTGTACAGAAACGTGTTTTCTCGCATTACAAGTGAACACAGGTTGAAATTGTTGTTACATATTAATAATATGTTATGTTTTTATACAAAAAATACAAAACTGTATGTCATTATACTGTGTGTGATCTTAGAAGGATGACTAAATAAAATTAACTCTTAATTACGTTCCGTGTACATACAAATAAAATAAAAATTTACATTAAAATCACGCTTTAAAACATTATTTTCACAACTTTACTTCAAATAATAAGAAAATGGCCTATCATATACACTCAAATTGCTTTCAAATTCATCTTTATTATAAAGCTGAAGAGTTTGTTTGGTTGTTTGGTTACCGCGCTCACCTTAGGAACTACTGGTCTGGTATTGTTTGAAAAAAATATTTTTGTGTTGGACAGTGCATGTATCAAGGAATGCTATATGCTAATTAACATAACGCTCCGACTAATTGGAGCGGAGCACCAATGAAAAATGTTACAAAAACGGGAAAAAAGCCATTATTGAGATTCTGTTGAACTATTTAAAAGTTCTTTATAAATAGAGATTATTATATCTATCTTTTAAGGGTGACACCACAGGGCACCTTTAGTATTACCTTAATATTATAAAGGCGAAAGTTTGTGAGTGTGTAAGTGTGTATGTTTGTTACTTCTTCACGTCTAAACGGCTGGAGTTAGCTGACACCCTGGATTAACACATAGGCTACGTGTTACTGCGGAAAAATATTCCTAATAAACCGCGGGTAACACCGCGGGGCACAGCTAGGAACATATAAAACTTATCGTCAATTTCGATTTTCGATTACAGTAAGGACATATTTCTCTCTCAAAACACATAATTAACACTCCGATCTTCTGTTTTAGATACGTATCGCTACTATCGGAACACCGTAGGGTTATATTGTGCGGCCCGAGTGGCACCGGCAAGTCTTACCTCGCCGCGAAACTGGCCGAGTTCTACGTGCAGAGGACGCAACGACGCGGCAATCCCGCCGAAGCGGTCGCCACTTTCAAGTAAATATCTAGTTTATTTCTGTTTAAATATAAAAGACTTTTTTTGTTGTTATATCGAATGGCTTAAATTTAATTCAGGCTAATAACACCTTATCTCTGGTAAAATATCTATACTCTTAATCTAGCATATTTTTTTTGTAAAGTCAAGCAAATGACTTCGCCATGCCTGGTGCTAAATGCCTTTCGGGCCTGAATCTTTCCCTTGATCTGTTTAAGTCTAACAACCTCACTGACTGCGTATAGTACGATTCACACTTTGTCGCGGTTGTGAATCTAGTAGAAAGCGCAAACATGTGCAGAGTTTTTTGTGAGTGGCATCCCACGCGTCTACAATATTCTATATTTGGTTTACTGCCCCGCAACTTGTTCTCTACCCTACCTTTTTATAAGTCAAAGTACTTTCTTTATCTAAAGAAAAGTTTACTAGAAAAAAAAAGTTTTCTAGTAAACTTTTCTTTAGATTTAAACATCTAGCAGTTAAATGCTTAAAAAATAAATAAAATCATAGTTTCTTTATGTTTTATTTTCTTGACCCCAGTGTCGATCGGAAGTCTTGCAACGAACTCCGCGCGTATCTCGCCAACATAGCGGACCAATGCAGCGCAGCGGCCGCGGGCGAAGAAGCCGTGCTGCCTTCTGTAGTAGTGCTGGACAACTTGCAACATGCCTCGGCGCTGGGAGATGCATTCGCAGGACTATTGCCGCCAGATAACAGGAACATGCCTGTCATCATCGGTGAGATTAACATTTATTAGCTGTCTATACTGCCTTCAGTAGTTGTGCTGGACAACTTGCAACATGCCTCGGCGCTGGGAGATGCATTCGCTGGACTATTGCCGCCAGATAACAGGAACATGCCTGTCATCATCGGTGAGATTAACATTTATTAGCTGTCTATACTGCCTTCAGTACTCATGCTGCCTTCAGTAGTAGTGCTGGACAACTTGCAACACGCCTCGGCGCAGGGAGATGCATTCGCCGGACAATTGCCGCCAGATAACAGGAACATGCCTGTCATCATCGGTGAGATTAACATTCATTAGTCGTCTATACCACCTTCAATAGTCGCTCACGCTGCCTTCAGTAGTAGTGCTGGACAACTTGCAACACGCCACGGCGCTGGGAGATGCATTCGCCGGACTATTTATTGCCGCTCGATAACAGGATCATGCCTGTCATCATCGGTGAGATTAACATTAATTAGTCGTCTATACCGCCTTCAATAGTCGCTCACGCTGCCTTCAGTAGTAGTGCTGGACAACTTGCAACCAGCCACGGCGCTGGGAGATGCATTCGCTGGACTAATGCCGCCCGATAACAGGAACATGCCTGTCATTATCGGTGAGATTAACATTAATTATTCGTCTATACCGCCTTCAGTAAGTCGCTCACGCTGCCTTTAGTAGTAATGCTGGACAACTTGCAACACGCCTCGGCGCTGGGAGATGCATTCGCCGGATTATTGCCGCCCGATAACAAGAACATGCCTCTCATCATCGGTGAGATTAACTTTAATTAGTCGTCTATACCGCCTTCAATAGTCGCTCACGCTGCCTTCAGTAGTAGTGCTGGACAACTTGCAACCAGCCACGGCGCTGGGAGATGCATTCGCTGGACTAATGCCGCCCGATAACAGGAACATGCCTGTCATCATCGGTGAGATTAACATTAATTAGTCGTCTATACCGCCTTCAGTAGTCGCTCACGCTGCCTTCAGTTGTAATGCTGGACAACTTGCAACACGCCTCGGCGCTGGGAGATGCATTCGCTGGGCTATTGCCGCCCGATAACAGGAACAAACCTGTCACATCGGTGAGATTGACATCTATTAGTTTGGTCATCTATACTTCCTTCAGTGGTTGTTGATGCTATCTTTAGATGCGTAAGCAACGCACTTAGGCCAGGATAGAAGAAGTAGTATGAAAAATTAAGTACAAATCGTTGGTATCTGTATTTAATATTTATTTATTTATTTATTTATTTATTTATATCAAATACTTATATCTATTATTACAGGTATATACCCAAGGCAATAGATACATCCATTTAAGAATTACATTATAATACACATTTACGAACACATTGGAAAAAATAATTAATTGCAACCGATAATAATCCACTCAGCTAGTTTTGTAAATTCGCTCAGAGCACAAACGAATAAGTCCATCTTTTCACTAATTTTGTTGATTGTGCGCAATGCACGCGTCAGTGGAGCCTCACTCAATAATTTAGTGCGTCCAGTAGGAATTGCCAACAGGCCCGGCCGCCGCCGACGCCAAATGTATTCATTTGGAACACTAAAACTAATCATCCCTAGTATGCCCGGATTAAATATCTTACCCCGAAGCACCTTAAAAATATAAATTACTAGCTTCAATTCTCTCCGAACCCTAAGCTGACTATATCCAACCATACCAAGAACAAATAATGTAGGATATTGTAATGGATAAAAGGGATACACTCCATATAGTTTTAAATACATGTATCTTACAAATTTATTCTGCACTCTCTCTAGCATAATATTATACTTTTGTTCGTGGGGAGCCCAAATCATAGCGTTACATTCTAGATGACTTCTAACTAATGTATTATACAAAGCTACGATGGCCTGTACATTCGTAAATTCATTTACAGTTCGTAAGATGAAACCTAAAGTTTTAAAAGCTTTTTTACAAACGTCAACGACGTGATCTCGAAATAATAAGTCTGCTGTGAATTTCACTCCTAAGTCCCTAACTTCTGTTACCCTTTTTAAAGGTGTGCCATCAATTTTATATTCGTGATCTATTGGTTTCTGTTTGCGTGTAAAAGTAATCGTCATACACTTGGATATATTGAATTGCAAGTTATTAACTTTGGTCCACTTGACAACTCTATCTATGTCCTCCTGGAGTCTGTTACAATCTCCTACATTCCCTATATCCGCCGACAACTTAAGGTCATCAGCAAATAACAAACATTTAGAGTTCTTCACTACATTGGGTAGGTCATTTATCATGATTAAAAATTCCAAAGGCCCTAGGTTCGATCCCTGACTTACCCCGGACCATGTAAAATACAGATCTGACTTTTTTCCCTCATACTCGACATACTGCTGCCTATCTGCCATGTAACTACAGAAAAATTTTAACAGATGTGATGTAAAACCAATCCGCGCCATCTTTTTAAGAAGTACATCATTATTTACGAGATCAAATGCCTTTTTAAAATCAAAATATGCCGCGTCCGTTTGCCCTCCTCTGTCCACTGATGGTATTATATCTGTTATGAGGGCCAGAAGGTTGCTAGTGGTGCTCCGAGCTGGCCTAAACCCATGCTGCACCTCCGACAATTGTGAGTGTATCTGCTGATATAAGCTTCCGTGTATAGCAGACTCGAAAACTTTCGCCGGAGTCGACAGTACAGCTACAGGCCTATAACCCTCTACACTCGTTCCCGCCGTTCCTTTCGGAACGGGTACAACCTTGGTTATTTTCCATCTTTCAGGAAATATAGCCAGACTTAAACTTTTATTGTATATGTAGTGTAGTGGCAACGCTAGTGCAGATCGACAGTCTTTAAAAATAAAGGGTGGAATACCATCAGGCCCTGTAGATTTTTTTGGCTTGAGTTGTTTAAGTGCGATGAGTACGTCGCTAAGTTGCAAATGACTCAAATGAACTCGAGCGGCCCCGTTATCCCCACCAGCTTCCTCTATCGCCGTGTTCACATTCAACTCGGCCCTCTGTTTACTATATACAGAATGAAAAAATCTAGCGAACTCCGAAACACACTGATCACGACACAATAACTCCCCATTTTTCTGAATTTTTTGTACAGTACGAATTTTTCTTTTAGAATTGACATAATTCCAAAACGATTTTGGGTCATTTTTGAGATTATTTTGTACACAATTCCTATATTGATTATGCGCATCCTCTATCATATGTTTTACTTTAGTCCGTAACTCGGCGAATTGTTTATAGTCAGAGTCAAATTTGGTGGTTTTATATTTTTTATGCAGCCGTGCTTTATATTCTATTGAACGTATAATTTCACCTGTATACCATTCGGGGTACATCCTATTCGAACCTATTTGTTTAATATTTTTTTTGGGTACACACATTTCCAATATTGAATAAATTTCATTATAAAAATAATCTAAACTTTGCTCTATGTCTAACGAATAAATTGGAGTCCAATCAATATCACTCAAAAATGAATAAAGTGATAAATAATCAGCTTTATAAAAGTTCCATTGTGAGGTACCTGTATTGGATGATGTACTCGCCGATGAGCGGCTAGTACCGGTGGCGGTGGTGGCGGCTGCGGCGGAGGCCGAGGTCACCGTGACCTCCAGCGGAGGGTGGTACTTGTCCACGTTCACCAGACTCATATCTGCCGCGCGCACCCTTACACAATCAACACCTTCGAACGAACTCAACACCAGGTCTAATGAACGATTGTCACAGTTAATCACTTTGTTACTCTGAGTGAATCCACAAAATGCTTGAAAGTATTCAAAATAATTAATTACATTTACAGAACAAGAAAAAAGGTTAAAATCTCCTATAACTATAATTTTTTTATATTTTGCACAAAATTGTTCTATAATTCGAAACATTAACATGTACTCTTCCTCACTACTACCCGGTGGAATATAGATAACACACAAAATAAACAAAAAACGACTTCTTAAATGTACGGAAGCACTGACTAGTTCAAAAATATGGTTATCAATGTTTATATTGTTCGGCGCGTGCACTCGCCGCACCTCGAATCGCGGTGTGGCCACGAGACACGCACCGCCTTGTTTTCGACCGTCCGCTCGATCACATCGTAGAATCGTGTATCCCGGAGGTACTAATTCCGCGTCTTCAATGGAACGGTTACAACCTGTTTCTGTAATTGTAAACAAATCTGCATTTGATGATGAAATACCTGTATAAAAGTCTTGAGTTTTAGTTCTAAGTCCTCTCACATTTTGGTAATATATCTCTATTGATTGATTTGGTTTCTTGTTTGACTTTTTATGTTTGTTGAGGTTTGTGTGATTTTCGAAACCAAATCCACTCACAAAATTCAATATTTACGGGCCAACTTTCTGGCTTACATATTCTTTCGTAATGACTTTCTGGCACTCCAATAATAAAAGAAGCATAATCTCGTTCAGTCTTGTGTTTTATTCTTTCTATTTTTATCTGTATCTCCTCCTTATACAAGCTTTTAACATACTTTTCCAAATTTTGTTCCGTAGTTTCTTTATTCAAACGCCATATATGTAAATATTTTTTCCGTTCAGTACCTTGTATAACGTCCACGTTAGATATTCCACCTTTCTTCACTTCGTGACTGGAATATTTATTTCTTTTCTTTTTATTCATGACAGTCGTCCAATCTTCTCCTATTTTTGACTTATTTCCTTTATTTTTGTCGCCGTTTATCATGTCATTAGAAAGTTTTTGCTCACTACTCACATTATTTGTCGTTTTCGTGGCCACACATTCCTCAACATTTGATTTATTTTGTTTTACTATTTCCACAAATGATACTTTGGAATCTTTTGGTTTTATCTGCTGCTGGTACACCTGATTATTTTTCCGGGTGTTTTCTAATTCCATATTTCTTTTTGTAAGTTCATCTATTTTGCATTCTAAATCCACAATTCTTTCCGTTTTTTCATGAACTACCCTCAACATATCTTTTAATTCTTTGATTTCTTTTTCAGATTTTATAAATTTACTTTGTAATAATGCGTTTTCCTTCCTTTGTTCCTCAAATTTTATGTTCATCTCTCGTCGAAATTCTCTTAACTCCTCTATGAGCTTATTCTCAATAGGCGATACAATGAATTCTTTTTCGTTACAACGACTACCGCGCTCGATATTAACGAAATTGGTTGGTGTAAATGTCGTATTCATCGTAACACTGCTACGTACCGGTGTTCTTGTGTTGTCCTTTTTCGGAATAATACGTACACACTCCGGGCAGATCCATGTATCTTTATAATCCTGGGTAAAATTTTCAAAATTTTCTACGGTAAGAGCGAGGCACTTCAGATGGTATAGCTTCTTACATAATTGCTGCGTACACTCCATATACAAAACGTCGTATATTGGGGCCTCGCAGCCCGAACATTTCGTGACCATTTATTGTAATATTCCCTAATAAATATTTTTAAACAAATTATGACACCAAATACACGTCCGTTCGTTACAACGTCAGTGTCATATGAATATAAGCAGCGATTTTACTATTCTAACATAACAAATAATTAATAACTTTTCTAAAAAAACATTTAATAGAATTGGTTTTTTCGTTCTATGGTCACGTGATCGAAAACGCCTGTGATTTGCGAACACTAATATGACGTCACACGCTAGTAAACTTCCAGTCAAAGTGACATTACATTGTATCGGTGGACATTTTAATGACAGACCTGTGATGTCACATACTAGTGACACGCCTGATGTCCCGAGAAACGTTTTTGCGGCAAGTTAAAAATGGAATTTTTTATTCAGTTTATTTTACTGAAATTCACAACAAAATGATGAATCGAATAGAATCCATCCATCTATGAGTGCATAAGCACTCCGTTTACATAAGTAAATAAGTTGTGATCGCTTTCTAAAACTTTTCAAATACCCTATTGACGATTTTTTCATTTTGTAACCCCTATTTTGATAAATAGTATGAAATCCCCCAGCAATTCATATATGCAATGTTGATATAGTTGTTACAATAAAATATTTGTTACAGGGACAATGTCGCAAGCTACCTGCAACACAACGAATCTCCAGTTACACCACAACTTCAGGTGGCTGCTCACTGCTAATCACATGGAACCGGTCAAAGGCTTCCTAGCAAGGTAAATTTATATTTCATTGGAGTATCATCATTCAACCTTTTTCGGCAAACATTTCAAATTATATGATTAAAGTTTACTTTAATCTTATAATGGTTGGTAATTAAAAGATCATTGATTCAGCTCAATTTTGTAGTAATATTCTTATTCTTGATCTTAACAGCCCATCTCTCTTTTGTGACTCCTTTTTTGCCATAGACTAAACCCCTTGTTGCAACACGACATTTAAGTTACTATGATAAATAAATAAAAAAAATCCTTCCTGTACCCTTAGTACGAGTTTTACAAATACGAAAACTATGATAGTTTTCGTGAGCTCGCACTCATACTAAGGGTACTGATTTTATTGTTTTCGTTTCAATACAAATAATACAATACAAACAGTGTTTAAATTCTATCATTGAATCATTTGCGTTTCTTAAATTTTAGGTATATTTGGTTACTTTTCACCAAAATGGACATAGAAACATAATTTACAATTACGAAAACTATGATAGTTTTCGTGAGCTCAAACTCGTACTAAGGGTACTGATCTATACAAAGCGTAGTATAAATAAGCTTTCCGTATACGCGATTTTTCGCGAACAAAAACTATAGTCAAAACCGAAGCGGAACAAGGTCAACTCGCCTGCAAACTATTACAACAAGAAAATAATTTGCCTAACAGGTATCTTCGGAGGAAATTATTTTCGCTGGAACTACGGCTCGGGCGGCGAGAGCCCGCGTTAGCAGCAGTATTGGAATGGCTGCCAGGCGTTTGGTCGACTCTCAACGCATTCCTAGAAGCTCACTCTTCCAGCGACGTCACTGTCGGCCCGAGGCTGTTCCTAGCTTGCCCGATGGACTTAGAAGCCAGTCAGGTAAGGATTTTCCTTTAAAATGTTGTATTCATTGTACTCCAGCTCAAAAGATACAATACCGAGCTTGATGCGGTATTGGAATAGCTGCCTGGCGTTAGTTCGACTCTAAACGCGTTTCTAGAAGCTCAATCTTCCAGTGACGTCACTGTCGGCCCGAGGCTGTTCCTAGCTTGCCCGATGGATTTGGAAGCTAGTCAGGTAAGGATTTTCCTTTAAAATATTGTATTATAGTACTCCAGCTCAAAAGGTACAATACTGAGCTTGATGCGGTATTGGAATAGCTGCCTGGCGTTTGGTCGACTCTAAACGCGTTTCTAGAAGTTAAGTTTTCCAGCGACGTCACTGTCGAGCCATGACTGTTCTTAGCTTGCCCGATGGACTTAGAAGCTAGTCAGGTAAGTCATTAGTTCCTTGCAAATTATTGTGTGATTCTCACTGGAACTCCAGCTTGGACGGGCGTTTAGTTTCAGGAATTAAAATCCTTTAGCGTTGATTCCAGGATCTTGAGCATTAGACATTAACATGCTGCCGCGCCGAGGCTATACTCAGCTTGCACAATGCACTTTGAAGGTAGTGTGGTACTTACCATTCTTCGTAATTATGTTATATTATCCTTACTGGAACCACAATACATACTAGAGCAGTAGCGTAACTCAGCCGTTTTCTTGAAATAGATACCTACGAATGAGTGGAGCGCTAGGGTTGGTACCTACAAAATTTTAAACATATTTGTGTAGATTTTTATTGTATGTGTACCGTTACTATTGTCACGTTACGGAATTGAACCGGAGGCAGATGGCGCGGGCGGCGCTTCGCAGCGAACTTAACTCGGCCAACGACCAGTCTCGGCGGCGCGCGACGTAGCACTGCGCAGATTTGTCTTGTCAAGATTGGTTAGCGGCCGTGTAAATGACGTTTGTCTGTGTCGATTCGGGCGCCAGTATCAATTCGGAGTACTGATCTTGTATGTATAGTGCTGGAACTCCGTCTTTATCCACGGGAGTGTGCATTGGCAGTGAAATTTTGGCTTTGGCATTGGCTAACGGTCATTTGGCTTCTAGAAGCGAACTCCTCTAGCGATTTTACTATAGGGCCGAGGTTATTCCTTGCTTGTTCGATGTACTTAAAAACAAGTTCTAGTCAGTGGTTCCTATAAATCGGTCTGTCATAAAAGCATTTTGGGGAAGCAACAATATAATTCAATAATGTCATATGTTATACTAACTTCATAGTTCGGTAACTTTAATTTATTTTCTCTAATATTTTTGACAGTATGAAAAATAATATACCAATTATTGGTATATGTATTGAATATGAATATTAGCAGCGATTTTACTATTCTGAAAGAACAAATTAATAATAACTTTTCTATAAAATCATTAAATAGAAATGATTTTTTTGCTCCATGACCACGTGACCATAAACGCCTGGGATTGGCCAAGATTAAAATGTCGTCACACGTTAGTAACTTTCCGGCCACATATTGTTTGACGTTTCAATGACAGTCGTGTGACGTCACACACTAGTGAGACGTCATAATGTCCAGAGAAACGTTTTCGCGGCAACTTGTAAATTGAATTTTTTATTTCGTTTTTTTACTGAATGACGCAACGGAATTAAAAATATCCACTTTTCATGGACTCCATAAACATTAGTTAATAACGTGCGATCGTTTTCTGAAACTTGTCAAATACCCTATTAAATTATTGGGCATCTTGTTTAAAGACTTAGCTTAAGTCCAAAAGCTACTTAACACGTCTAACAGCAAATATCTTCCACAGGCATGGTTTGCAGACGTATGGAATTACAGTATAGTGCCGTACGCGTCCGAAGCGGTGAGGGAAGGCGTCGCTCTCTACGGTCGAAGAAGACACGCGGCCCTGGATCCCTTACAACACGTGAAATCCTCATATCCTTGGAGGGAACCGAACCATTCGCACGTCAGTGTAAGTTGAACTTGTATTATTTACTACTAGCGGCCGCCTGCGACTTCATACGCGTGGAGTTAGTTAGAAATAAAGGTTCACTGCCTAAGGCCTATATGTTGACCCGACTTCTTAATAACATTCGTGCCAAAGGAGAATGGGCAAATCCGCCTAGATTGCGCTTGACGCATTTATGTATCAAAAATCTTCTTCTGAATTATCATTTCATATGTGTGTTTATTATGTAAATATTATGCGGATATTTAAAATAATAAATAAATGGCTATTAAACTGAGTAAATAACCAATAACCATAGATAAAAGTTGTATCACCTGGTCGATACTATCGTAGGAAAAAAAATCGATTATATTTCTTTATTTAAATATTCTTAACATAAAAAAACGAGTGTGCTTATGACCACACGACTGAAGTGAAACTTCTTTCATTTACTAGCTGTAAGAGAAAAAGAGAAAGAAAATGCGTGCGCGCGCTCTTGCTCCTACACTGTGATACAGACAATAGGCTTGCACTGTGCTTAGATATACGGAACGTATTTGGCTATGAGAGGAAGAGAGAAAGAAAATGTGCACGCGCACTGCTTTCTCATGCTTACATCCCCCACTCAACTCCCGTTCGCCTCGCCCGATCACACTTTTCATAACGCTTACGTTCGCTAGCTTACTCCTCAAGTCAAGAGTGCGTAAAGAAGTTTCACTTCAAAAAGAAAAAATAAAACGTTTATTATAATTGAAAGCATAGAACAATTGTAAATAGCCTGAAACATTTTTACCAAACACCGTAAATGACTACGAAATAATGATTATTCGTTAATTCGTAGTCATTTTTTATTTTGAGGTCTTCGATGCGAGTTCTTTGATTTTTGTATGGATCGATGGATAGATTATTTTCCCCAAATCGACTATTCAGAGGGCCGGGTTTAAAATTCCGGTGAGGCAAATGTTTATATGATGGATACGAACATTTTTACCAATATTATATCATGATAAATAACATTAAATTCATAAAGTTATCATTTGTAAGACCTGTGTTGTGACTATCTCACTGTACCTACCAGGGATTGCTCTCTTTCATTGCATCTAAAAACTAAAAGGAACTTAATGGGCTGCGCAAAAGAGGATTTTTTGTCTGCGGACTATATTGTTCATCAAACAGTAGATCGCATACAAAAACTTTTATATGCAGTACTCTTAGATTAAAAAAGGGAATATATTTTTGTTTAAATTATCAGTTATGTTATATATAATTACTTAATCATATATAAATTAACTCATGGTTTGAACATTTTAAGCATTTGCATTGAAAAATAAAACATTTATTAATCGATTGTGTAGGAATCGATTCCTATAGAATCAAATCGAAATATATACCATAGGCAAGTGAAGTAGGTAGCTGTCAACTTGTTGTCAACGTGTTTGTTTGTTCCGAGTGATTAACTACAAACAGTTTTCAATTTTGAATTGAATTTGTGTTTTCAGTGGTCTATTGTGGCAGAATAGTTTTAATGTTGAGTTGAGTAATCCTCCGTTAATAACTGTTTTTTTGGGAAAGAGAGAATTGGACTCGTTGATTTAGTGTTAAGTTACCTTTAGTGATTCTGACAGAGATATTTGGACTCTTAGTTTATTGTAACTATTTTTGTTTACAATGGCATCTGGTGTTACACAAGAAAACGCAGGCAGTATGCAACGACGTTGTATTAACTGTTGTATATCAGTGCCACGACGACAGCCAGTACATTCTTTGGACATGCTATCCAATTCAATGCTTAATGTTTTAAGCTCATGGATCGCACCTGATTCTGTAAGTAATTATTTACTTATATTACTAAAAATATATCGTTATAAAACCGCAACCGTGAGATAATGTTTTAATTTCATTCACATGTTCAAATAAATATAAATATTTTTGACTTGTTATAGATATTGAATGGGGGCATAGTGTGCAACAAATGCTTTATGCTACTACAAGCTAGTGATACCACCGAAGAAGTACCTGCACCACAATATGGCCATCAACAAATCTGTTTTGGTTGTGGAAAATCCATATTAAGAAGTCGATCATACAGGGTTTCACTACACTGCCCAGAAAGAAATATTATTCTTAGATGGACTCCAGCACATCAGGTATGGTATAAGATATTATTATCAATAATAAATTATTAAAATTGATTTCAATGCTTATTAAAACATGACTGTGACATTATTATTATTTTTGCATTGCATGATTGAAATGTTATATTAATAATAATTTATTTAAATTGATTTCAATACTAACTGAAACATGACTTTGACATTTTTTTTTACATTGCACAATTGTCATGTAGTATATTAATGAAATTGATTATATAATAACTAACTCAATCATGACTATGGTATATAAATAATATATATAGTTTTTAAAGATTGAGTTCTGGATAATACTGCAACTACCTATAAATATTTGCACGTCGATAAAAGCGACAGGTCATGTTGGTTATATTTTTGAGATCTGTATAATTTACCATATCTTGTCAGATAAATGATTTATTATTATTATTATAAGAAATATATTTCTATTGCATAAAATAGTTGTAGATGGTTTTTCATTAAATTCAAGTTCACTTATCTTTTTTTTATAGGTGTCAAGAATTTCAAGAGTTTGTGCTGCCTGTTGGCGAGCAGCTAATAGAGAAGTGTAAAGGCAACAGTTACATGATGCGAATCGGTCATCAATTGAACAAATTGATGTAGAACCAACAGAGTCTGTACCAGTGATCCCAGTACCACCACCATTTCCCGCTGGTCTATTACTTGTTCAGCCTTCAAGACCTGTTATACCGATAAGATTCAGTCATCAGTATATAAGTGTGCTGTCGCCACTTCATTGAGTTGTCTGTTTTCAGGATGCCGGGAACAACAATGTTTATTAGTACCCAGAGTAATAAGAGAAATGTTATTAATACATAATAAATTCTATGTTCCCACATGTTGTAGAATATGTCAACATCACTTGAATAATGGGCGTTGGAGTGATTTAACATCAAATCTGCAAGATTTTACTGGTGTACAGTTTGATGCCATTTTGAATATAATGCAGAGAGCAGTTTCCCATTGTTTCGACTTTGAAAATATTTCTGCAATGGCTCCTTTCTTATGCCATTATTGGCTGGGAATGAATGCTGAACAGTTTGATGAACTCTTGGCATGTGTACCAAGCTTATTACAGAGTGTCAAAAATCCCCGTTTAGCACTCTGTATTTACATAGTCAAGTTAAGAACTGGGGACAGCAATGAACGATTAAGTTCCCTCTTTCAAATGTCTCGTAGGACCTTGGAGAGAAAAATGAATAAAGCTAGAAGTTGTTTAGTTGAAGATTTTGTGTCAAGACATTTGGGCTTTGGTCATGTAAATGTGGAGCAAGTGGCCAGCAGAAATAAAATAATCCCGGAGGGATTGTTTGGTAATCCAATCTTACCAAATGATATTAAACCCGCTATTGTTATGTGTGACGCAACTTATATATTTGTCCAGAGCAGCAGCAATTATCGTTTTCAAAAAGAATCATATAGTTTACAAAAATCTGATAATTTAGTTAAACCTTTTATGGTTGTGTGTTGTGATGGATATATTATAGATTGTATGGGTCCCTATAAAGCAACCACTAATGATGCTTCAATAACAAGGCATGATTTAAATAATGAAGAAGGAAAACTGCGTTCATTTTTCCGGCAGGATGATGTTTTTATTCTGGATATGGGGTTTCGGGACGTAATTGAATTTATGGAGGATCTTGGTTTTAAAGCTTACATGCCTGAATCATTATTAGATGGTTAACATCAACTCACTACCCTTCAGGCTAACAAATCTAGATTTGTAACAATGTGTCGCTGGGTGGTTGAAATAGTAAATGGACGTATAAAACGAGATTTTAGATTGTTCAGGCATGTATTTAATAACAGAGCTGCAACTCATTTAAAAGATGATTTAAGAATTGCATGTGCTCTGTTAAATAAGTTTCATCCCTTAATACAGGATCCTCCAGAAGCAAGCGAGTATGTAGCTATTGCTCAAAATCGGCTTAATGAGTCCAATCATTTGGCCGAGTTTGTAGAAACTCAAAATCTTAACAGAAGACGTGCAATGTTTTCTGCAATTGATGGCAATCATCCTCACTTGGAAACCTTTCCCAGTTTAAGCATCACTGATTTAAAACGCTTTGCATTAGGCACTTATCAGTTAAAGCAGGCGCGATCATATTATGGGGAACATATTCGATCGTCTGGGATATATTCCATAGAAATAAATACAGAAATAGATGAAGATGTTCCCCTTGTATTAGGTTTAAACAATTATCTGCTTAGAGGACGTATTAAGTCTAGACACGTTGGTGGACGCACCTATTTTGTTTACATTTTAGTCAGCCGTGACACCAATATAGCCAACTCACTAAGTTGTTTAGTTGGCTATTGCTGCAGTTGTATTGTAGGCAAAAGGACAGTAGGATGTTGCGCACACGTAATGACGGTAGTTTGGTACCTTAGCTGGGGGCGATTTAACGATACACATGCTCCAGCTACATTTTTAGATGAGGTATTTGAAGAAGGTATATAAGTCAATTCTTTTTTAAAAAAAGGCAATATATAAACCAGGATTAGAGCACGCTTAATGTATAAACTGCTGTGTTAATTGAACTTAGCAGAGCGTTAACTGGATATTTCAAACTCAACAGGACATGGTGGCGAGTTACAAAAGATATTTTAGGCGAAGTCACTACAGTTCCACTGGATACGGCATAACCTCAAAAATATAAAATAAAAATATCACATTAATAATGTCGATTTGGATAAATGTGTTATCAATAAATGATTATCATTATTAAAATATTTTGTCTTATTTATTTTTGATTCCTAAACCTTAAATAATATTAGATCCATTGTTGGGTTAACAGAGCATCAAAGGTGCAGCTTGAGCGTAAAGAGAATAATTAGTATAAATAGCACTAATATAACCACACCTCAACAACGCCACATTTATTGAATCTGAGATGTTTGGAATAAATAGAGATAGATAGCAGCTCACCAACGCAACAGTTTACAAATATACGCTGCCCGTTGATAAGATTTTACGAAGTGCATTCAATTTTTGTTTCACTCCCAGTCCAAAATAGAAGACACAACCTCAAGAAAGGTCACAACCTAATTAAATACAGTTTAAAGTAGTATACCTAGTAATAATTAAGTATGGTATAAATATCGAATTTAATCGAATCTAAATATGACATAACCTTAAAATGCTTACGTAATTTAATATTTTCTTTAAACCACTACTTAAGTTTCTAATGATATTTTTCCTACGCAATATACACCTGATTCCCTATTGTTGTACACTTATTCCAATAAGACGCAATGAAAAAAACTTAGCCCAACTCCCAAAGTAAAATGACCATTCTCCTTTGCAGTTAATCCATGCAGTACTTGTTGAGTTTATCCCGTACATACATACAGACAAACAGACAAAAATTCTAAAAACTATATTTTTGGCTTCACTTTCGATTGTAGATCACACCCCAATTACTCTTTAAAATAAAATACAATGTACAGTTTTAACTTTCCTACTATTTTATTATATGTATAGATCATTCACCAATAGGAGCATGTAGCGCGTCTACTAGATACCGCATATGAGGACACCCGCTTGTGACAAACTTATGTAGTAATAATACATAAGCGAATGACAATTCGATTTCAAGTGAAGTCTGTGCTACCTATACGCAAAATTTAGAATGCGTATAGGTAGCACAGACAAAAAAACGAGCGAGCCTTACAGTAGTCGCGTATGATGTGTTACATTTGAAACGTCACCTTAGTAAAAAAAGAAATAAAACATACTACAAAAGGAATAAGCCGGAGTTTTTGACGGGATTTCATCGAGTGCGGTTGGCGTCTTATTTTAATTATTCTTAAATTCGTTCATAGTAGATATTGTGAAATAAAATTGGTGTGGTTTTGTGTAACAACCGTCTGCGTAACTGAAGAATTAGTGAAATCGTTGAAATATACGCTATTCCGGTCAAGTGGATGTAAGAATTTTATTGTAGTGTTGACTACCTCACAGAAGCTTATCGAAAAATCCAACTCGATACATTTCGTGCCAAACACTCCAAGAAACATTAGAATGCGTCATACCGACATTCTAATGTCAAAATAAAAAGAAGATTAATTTAATTAAAGACTAGGCTGTATGGGCATTGTTCCCTTTGCCTTCCCTAAAACGGGAGAACTTCAACAAAAAAAAAGGAATAAGCCGTTTGAACATTATGTTCTAAAATCAAATCAAATAGCGCGCGCTTCCCAAACTTCCTGTTACATTCTTCAGTCCCACTTCACGTAATCACTCCCACAAATTGCACGAAAGCGAGAGGAAAGATGTTACATGTCAATAAACTTGCGCGGTAGACTTTTTTGAATGTAAATTGCTACTGCTGGTTGGCCGAGGTGAATACCTACTCTTGTGTGGGTGCTGGCTGTGTGCAGGAGCATTAGAAGTACATACTCGATGGCATCACAGAGCAAATAATAAGAGCTGTTGTTATGCCCTTAAACGACATTATATCTTTGTAAATGCGTCGAAAGGTGGGCTGTGCCGGTGTGCGAAATCTATGAAGAACCTCGTTTTAGGTTTCTGTAGGCAAATGGCAAAAAACAGATCCCTTATAGATTCGTCATGTCCGTCCGTCTGTCCGTCCGTATGTAACAGGCACTTTTTTCCAAAACTAAGAACTATACTGTTGACTCTTGGTAAGTAGATGTATTCTGTGAACCGCATTCAGATTTTCACACAAAAATAGAAAAAAAAAACAATATTTTTTGAGGGTTCCCATACTTATGGCGTATCCACACATGCCGCCGGCTTTACCGGCGGCCTGCAGATGCGGTTGCAATTTTGGCAGTAGTGTTGTGACTTTCTTTTTTTTATAATTTCACCATTATAAATAATATTATAGATTGGTGTATCCTTGCTGAATATCATAACGTTGCTCTTGGATGGGTTAGTTTTTAAATGTAAAATGTTATTATAATAATAAAACAATTGCAATAAAGCTACATTAATACTGTCTATTGCTACTTGTAAATTGTATATGTACAAAACGATGTCATCAGCAAATTGTAAAATATTTATGTTATTATATACATTGTCTATGAAGTTGCAAATTTCACAAGTGTAAATATTATACAATAAAGGAGATAAGGTGGCACCTTGCATTGTGCCTTTCGAGGCAGATTTTGAACCATATAACATATTATTGTGTTTTACATACACTGTCCTTTCATTCAAGAAGTTATACAACACTACCACTCCATATTGAAGCCGCGAGCAAACTGCCGCCGGCAACCAAAAGCCGCGCGTGCCGCAGGTAAAAGATGCATGTGTCGGCGGCATGACCGGCGGCCCGGCCGCCGGGTTGCCCGCCGGCCGTGCCGCCGGGCATGTGTGGATACGCCATTAGAACCTTTCATTCAATCAACTTAAATATAAAAATATAATAAAACCATTTTATTTCATAAACATAAACGTTATGCATAAACCGTGAACCATTATTTTCTAATAATAAACCTGTAATAGGTGCGTAAGTTAATAATAATTATAATTCGCGCGGAGCGTGGCTTGATCGGTAGCGGGTGCAGAGCGCGCGGGGGGCAGGTTTTATATTATGTTACTTGCTGCTACGGAACCCTTCATGGGCGAGTCCGACTAGCACTTGGCTGCTTTTTTACAATAAGTTGTTGTACTTTGTTTCCATAATAATTTGGTGGTGTTCATACCGCTGACGCCATTATAGCCTTAACGCCTGTGTGTACCGCACACTTCGCACTTCGCCCAATAAGGGACGGCGCAGCCCTGTTCGAAAACGTACGATACGCGATGCCTTCCATTTGTAATTTTAACTCTCATCACTATCCCTTTTAATTCGAAATTGTTATTGAAAAAGTGTAGACATGTATTTTGAAATGTCATTAAAGGAAAATTTACTGGAATTTTTTTCTTTAGATTAAAAAATGAAATAAACTAGAATGAAATGGACTACCATAATTTTTTCTATAAACATATTTTTCTATATTTACAGACCTTGAGAGCTATTACTGTTGAAGAAGTTGGCATTGAAGAATCTTCTCAAGATGCCAACACTAACAACAACCAGGATCCTTTGGTAAGTTTTAATAATACATACTTAAACTTTTATGATTTTTCTATGTAATTTAAGTGCTACAACAGATAAATAGCTGAAGATCTCATTTATAATACTATGTTATTTTTATATAAAGTTTAGTTACATAAGCAACCATTTTTATTAATAATCAAAATAAGCTTGAAATCTATTATATATTATTTTTTATTTTGTTCATATCATACGTAACGTGGTGGTCCGCCAGATATTTCTTTAACATAATACTTTCTTTTGAAGCTTACTTAACCTACTACTTGTTTAAATTATGCACTTTTGAATGAACTGGTACATTATAACTTGGCTTGTTTTTTAGGCTCCGTAGCCGTAAAAATAGGACCGTTGCTTAAAGATTTTTTTTAAATATATATTTGGTGGGTGAGGAGCTCGATGGCGCAGGTGGTTAGCGTTGTTCGGCTGCGATCGTTGAAGTTAAGCAACTTTCGCAGTGGTCGGTCATTGGATGGGTGACCAAAAATCTTCTATCTCGAGTTCTTCCATGCTTCGGAAGGCACGTTAAGCCGTTGGTCCCGGCTGCAGCTGTAGTCATTAGCACCCGCCAATCTGCACTGGGCCCGCGTGGTGGGTCAAGGCCCAATCTCCTTATTCCATCCATGGAGAAGGCCTGTGTCCCAGCAGTAGGGATATTAATAGGCTGATGATGATATATTTGGTGTTGTGAAGAGGGAAATTGATAATAAAACCTTTTTCACAGCTAAACATGTTGATGCGGCTACAAGAAGCCGCGAACTACAGCGGTAACCAAAGCCAAGACTCTGACAACGCGAGCATGGACTCGAATCTCACACACGACAGCTCGATGGGCAACGAGTTATAAGATTAAATATTACGTATCGAATTGAGACTATTCACGTTGTTGTGATATAAGCTTGAACAGCCTTATTACAAAACGTAGGCTAAAGTTAAAGCTGGATTAAAACTAATGCTATCACTTTTGTTTGCTAAAAAGAAAACTATGGTGGACATGATTCTCTAAACCTAAACTTAAATTTGACAACAGTATATCCTTGTAATTCTCTATACAGAATAAAAAAGAGAGACTGATGTAAATTTAGATTTAAGTTTAGAGAATCACGCCAGAATCGACACCAATGACAGTATGATGTTTAAACCAAGACTAACTTCAGTCCATGTTTTGGAATGAGGCGGGAAATGTCCGTTACAAAGTATCACGACATTTTAACGTAATGCCACTTAATAATAAATATACATTGCAATCAAACTATAACGCGTTGAAAAATCATCGAGTTTTTTAACTCGTACGCGTAGAGTATAACTTCCTGTCTCATTATATTTAAAGCATTTACACGTTCCTTCGCGTGTGATCTATACGAAATTCAAAGCCAAATATTTGCCATATGTACATTATTTATTTTATTTACTTGTACTATAGTTGTTATTTTAATTCGGAATCTATGTTATTTTTTATTTCTTTTATTTTATTATAATTCTTTCTTGAATAAGAGTAATATTCAAATTCTTTATTCCCGAAAGGACTGTGCTCTGCAATATTTGCGTCGATTGCTAATATTCATTGTGTGAGCAGGATATACCTTTCCGTTGATTCGTTTTGTTGCAAATTAATGTAATTTTTTAACTTCGTGTTAAAAATCTACACGTATTCGTGCAGAGAAATAATTGACAGTGCCTGGAGCTATACTTTTCCATTTTTATGAAATATTAATTATGTAATCCAGAAATGTAGGACTGTTACTGTTTGTATGAAGCATTGTGGCTTTTACTATTGTTATATTTTTTCAAATTTAGGATATGGACCGCATTTGTATTACTGTGACTTGTATGTAAAATAATATATATGAAAGTGTAATTTTTATACCATTTTCATATAAAAACTCATGTACCTAATAAATACGTTTAGGTGTAAATAAAATATCTTTAATATAATTTTTTTCTATGCGAGTAAACTAACTGCTATTTTGCCATAAACAGTATAGCGTTACTTTTGTATAGAAATGCGTAACAAATTTGTTACAGTGTTCGGTATGGATTGACTTGTGTGCATAACTAAAACGTGATATCTACAATCTATGCTTTACTGAAAATGTGAAATAAACATTGATTATAAAATATTCCTGTCTTATTATTTGTCTATTTCTTACACTAAGACTAGCGGCCCGTCCCGGCTTCACACGGGTGTATTAAATACTATGTAAATATAACGAATCAGCATTTATATCTAAAATACAAAGAAAAATTAACAACAAATAAACAAAAGGAAACAGTGGAAGAGCTTTTCACTATATAACGAAAAAACAATTTTACAAAAGCTACACAAACAAATTTGAAGGACGTAAATTCAATGAAAGAAAATTCAAAGAATATAGCTGTCCCAGCGAACTTCGTACCGCCATAAAAAATAGGGGTTGGTGGTAGAAGGGTGAAAATTTAGGGTTGTATGTATTTTTGTATGATGATGGTCCAAAAAAATTGTTTAAGTAGGGACCACCCTTAACATTTAGGGGGATGAAAAATAGATGTTGTCCGATTCTCAGACCTACTGAATATGCATATAAAATTTCACGAAAATCGGTCGAGCCGTTTCGGCTAATAGTTAAAACTGTCTTTATCAGTTATTAAAAAAATGTGAAAAAATAATTACTGCCCTGGAAATTAATAATAAATTCACGATGAGAGTAAAATTAACGTAATAGATGCACAGAAAAATTAAAATAATACGTATAAGTCACTGCTACGATCGATACACAAATGAAACCAAAAAAAATGCCCGAAAACTGTCTATTGAGGAAGTCAGGAGACCGGCTTCCTTCTCATCCCTACTCCGTGATGTTTGCTGGATGAGAGGTGACCCAGGTAGACATTTAGCGGGGATAACTGATCGATTGATCGTTGATCGGTTATCGACTGGTGAAGACGGAAGATCGAATTGAATTGAGAAAAAAAAGAAATTATTAAAAATAAAAATCACGATGGTAAAATAGTAGTTGATTGTAAAGGGTTGAAAATTCAGGGTTATATGTATTTACTAATGCTGTATCATCAAAATTGAAAAAAAAAATGTAGGGGTGGATTACCCTTAACATTTAGGGGGATGAAAAATAGATGTTGTCCGATCTGTCCCAGCGAACTTCGTACCGCCATAAAAAAATAGGGGTTGGTGGTAGAAAGGTGAAAATTTAGGGTTGTATGTATTTACTAATGCTGTATCATAAAAATATATATATATATATATATAATATTGAAAAAAAAAATTAGGGGTGGATTACCCTTAACGTTTAGGGAGATGAAAAATAGATGTTGTCCGATCTGTCCCAGCGAACTTCGTACCGCCATAAAAAAATAGGGGTTGGTGGTAGAAAGGTGAAAAGGACATCGACGAAATCGGCCCTAGCATGCCCAAAAGAATGTCCTTCACTATTATTTTTTTAACTTATTAGCAATTAATCATAGTAAACGGACAATCTGTTTAAAAAAATAAAAAATAAAAGTTCTGTTACTAGATACTACAGTCTGTTCATCCAACTTGGCACTCCTTTTTATTGAATATACAGCATTAAAAATCAACTGATAACTGGATTCGATAGGTTTCAGTCTATAATAACGATTTATTTTAATAGTTTATTGGCTTCGTTAATATTTTATTATTAAATGGGTGATTCTGTTAAAAAGTTATATTTATAAAAAGATTATTTCTGAAATTATCTAAAGATAGTTTATACTCCCATTATATCATAATGATAACCAGGTACAGGTCGCGCAATGGTTCTAGATCGCTCGAAGAAAGTAGAGGGGGCAATCGGCGCATGTGTACAATCGCGCACTGAAATTCTTAGCGTGTTATTAAGGGATTTTTTATTTCGTATTTTTGAACTTAAACTAACTTTTTAGTAAGGACGTAACTTAACATCCTTACTAATATTATAAAAGTGAAAGTGAGTTTATTTGTTTGTTACGTCTTCACGCCTAAATGGCAAAACCGATTTTGATGAATTTTGATACAGAAATAGATGGAACCCTGGAGACGAATATAGGCTAATAAAAGCGGGCAAAGCTGCAGGTAAAATCTCGTTTATGATAAGTTGATAAAACTAGTTTTTGTTTGTAATTTATCTTGCAAGTAGATTTATTATGAATTAAGAAAAATTAAAAAACAAAAGTAAACAGTTATTATATTTAATACGTAAAATCACATGAATTATTATAATATTTATAAAACAAAATTATTCATCCGGCAGTGGTGATATTCCTTCCATTAATTCATCTTGGCATGTTGAAGTAGAAGGTTGAGGATGGAAGCAGAGAACGTAAGGGCACTTCGTTGTCGTCAGATATTTCGGAGTCATCATCATCACTCTCTTGACTGTCGGAGCTGTCATCAGTAACACAAATAAAACTGTTCAGTCATAAGATCTATAATGTGGTCACTTTTTGCGTATTCTTCTTCTACAAATTTGGTTTTATTACACAAGATCTCCCACTCTCTTGCTCCCATTAGATTAACTTTTTCTTTGACAAGCTCAATAGCGTTATTAAGATTCCATTTTACGTTTTTGCTACCCACATACTGTTTAATCATAGACCATGCCATTTCGATGGGGTTGAGATCAGGGTGATACGGAGGCAGTCTCAGAACGTTGTGATTGTGTTCAGCCAAAATCTTGTCAATAAAAAAACGTTTTAAATTGTTCTTTGTGTGTTTTTATTAACTGATACAATTGTGGTTTTAACATGTCATCATCGTATTCAAACAGTTAAAGTTCCTACAGTTAAAGTTCAATTTTCTTGCGCCAGGCGGAAGGAGAACTATCAATATCAGTAGATCTCGCGCCAATAAAGAAAAAGAAAAAAGGTTTGGTAAAGCCAGCCACAATTGGAGTTGCTTATAGTAGGAGAGCGCAAGCGGGGATTTCGGGATTCACTCAAGAACGGCAGAATAACTTAGGGGCAGCAACCTTGTACCTTGTGTAGAACTCCCCTACAACTTATTTTGTATGACCGACTCTACCTGATTTGCGGCTTTATTTTAGCTTGTTTTAAGACTCATAATCGTTTGAGAAATATTTACCTAGATAATATGGTAACTTGATGTGTGACTGCTGTACCACCTAATGTTGTTTCAGCGAGGGTACAGTCAACAGTACTATCTAACCCAACCTACTAGAGCAAAAGGGTCAAGAATCAGAATTTTTTCCAGTAACTAATAAAAATTTCGATTTTTATTTTGAGCATTCATTCTAGTCCGTTTCTATTACCATAGTCTGTTAGGCTCAAATTATACTGCCGCGGAATGAAATGGAAGCGAATTTTCGTAATGAAACTATGCATGGCATAATGAACTTTATGTCAATTCTAGAACATACAAACTAAATACGAGCTATAAGCTAGGGCAATTTTAAAGAAAGCGAGGTTTCCGCAGAAGACACGCTACTTTTTTTTGGCTCGTATACGTTTACTTTGTACTTTTTGCAAATGACATAAAGTTTATTGTGCTATGCACAATTTCGTTGCAAAAAATCGCTTCCATTGCATTCCGCGGCAGTATAAATGAGCCTTAGGAGCATTAAAATTTTAAGTTCTGCTGATAATTTTCCTAGGAAGTTAATATGTCAACGATTTGGGCTTTTCAGAAACCGTTGATGACAGGGGCGTATTAAATAATCTGGCGCCCCGGGCCAATTAGGATAAGCAACCTCCCCCCTAGATTATTAAATCAAAGCAAAATATAGTTCAGTAACGAAAGCCTTTTTATGTCTTCTGCCGCCTGCCCGGGCCATGGCCCTCTTGGACTAAGGGTAAATACGCCTTCTATTATATCAGCACAGCAAAAACACGACCATGAAGTTGACCTACGAATCCCGTCTGCTGCCTTGTCCGCGTGGATTTTTTTCTAGTTATATTTTCTTTAGATACGACCTATGAAGCTTCGTCGACTTCAGTTCTTCAGCGCCATCACCACCGTTTGCCACATCAATTTTATTGGCTTATTGTCCACCCACTCCATTGTATTCTGGGTATATCAAACTTGGAGTTCGTTCCCTAGCAAACTATAAGATCCCTTCTTCCTGATTAATATTGGGGTACCAAGTAGGTAGATTGGTAAAGTGATATCTGAAAATTCTTAAACAATTTCTTCTTTTAAATTCTATGCTTCTGGTCTGACTAGAATATCTGTATTAAAGGATTTCAATATTTGAAGTAATTTTTTGGTATATTGGTATGGGTACCACTATGGAAATTTTTTGTAGATAAATGGTTCTATCTTCTAACAACAGTTACCCGACTTAAACTCACTGGCTTGTATTGGCTTTTTCACCATCTGCTACTTGTTAATATTGTAAACTCACCTTGTGTCATCGAGGCTCTATAAAGCTCGACTGACATGAAAAAGTAATAACATCAAGCCAGCATTGGCATACCAACAGGATCGTTGCCTGCAGCTACTATGTCAATGTAAATCTGCCGTTACCCTATCACAGGTTTATCAAGAAAAAACAGCAGTAAATGCAATAGCTTTAATGAATAAAATATGCAAAGCCACAGCTTATTTACTTCACCAAACACACCAGATGAATACAATACATTGGAGCAATTTGGACGGAACTGGTTATATTTTAGGACTAGATTGTAGTGTTAACTGAGGAAGGAACCATTACTTGAGTAAATTTTGAAATACTATTTTATGAAGTATATAACAATAAGGCACAACCTCTTGAAAAATTAAATACATACCTAAATACAATATCATTAATGTCCACATTCTTTTTCTGTTATACAAATGTAGAAAGGAACAATTATTTCATTGTAGTCTTTTACAAAGAAACTTACATTTTTTATATATTTTTGAAGTAATGTTACAATAAGACAGCTATTTTTATATCTCTATTATGACTCCTTGTTTAAATGCCAACCCTTACTAAAATATGTTTTGATAAATTAAGTATTTCCTAAGCTAAAGAAATATAACACTAAGTCAAGGAACTGAGCAAAGTTATTACACTTAAGTAATTAGTTACAATATTGCTTCAACAATTCTGTATTATTATAAGTGTACAGCAAATTCATTTTTATATTTTAAAAAGCTGTTCATCTTTTACTATTTTCAATTTAGATGGAGTATAGTGAATCCTAAATAATAATCTTATTAGATAAAACTAGTCACTATGAATATCCAAGCTAAGATTAGATAGAGAAGGAACTGGAGACTCGGAGAAATCACCAGAATCATTACTTGGTGATTTAATATTTCTTGGTGATATATTCAATTGCTGATTTGACATTTTAGATTTATTTAGTGATATATCTTTATTAATTTTGCCAATAGATAAACTGTTTTCACTGATTAAGTCTGCCACATCAGATATTGATACAGAGCTTCTAGAACTGTGGGAATTGTGTGGACTATCTGCTATATTTTTATTAATGTTGCCATCATTTAAGTCTTCCTGAATTGATTTCGGAGAGGGATTCTCTGAATTAACATCATTATGTTTTGATCCTCCTGATAGACTAAAATCATAACTGTACTCAGCTGTCTCTGATTCTGACTTAGTTGATGATAGTTCTTGTGGTTTATTCTCCTTTGATCTGTCCTTATTATTTTCGTTTTCTATCTTATGTGATATTGAAGAACTATTGTCTAAATTATTTTGCACAGAACTATTCAATTCAGTACCCTTTTTAAAGTGTTCACTTTTATTATTTTCTTTGCTTGGAGATTGTAGTGTAGTGAAATTTCCATAATTGTTGTCTGATGTTACAGGTATCCCGGTAGTATTGAGTAATTTTTCATCAGCAGCATTGAACGGTTTAAGCTCTACATATGATGTAGAATCACTACTGCTGTTATGTAGATTTTTCAATTCATTCAGAAAATATGGGGAAGTTTTATCATTTTTACTTTGTAACGTGAGGTTCTTTTCATTTTCTAACATTACACTAGCAGTATTTTGTTTAGAAATATCTTGACTGTCATTTACATGCAATATGTGTGCATTAGGTATGTATTCTGAATTCGTTGACTTGTCTCTTGCTGAATCACTCGAAGTATCTGTATCTGAATTATCTAATTGCAGTCTTAAATGTAGTTTAGTTTTTTCGTCTGAAGAGTTGTCAGATTGTGACTGACTTGTCGTACTACTAGAATCATCATGCACAATATAAGTACAGTTTTGATCATCTTTGTAGTTTAAATTATCATGTTTTGCTATGCCAGGTTTGTTATTCCTTTCGTTAAAGTGCTTTTGGCGTGACTTAACAATATATTTTACAATCGACACTAAAACCGGTTCTCGTACATCTTCCTGTTTAATATTAAGTTTTTCACACAACTTTTTTTGACCTTCGTATTTAAATTCCCTCTCTTGCCTTGTCTCGGACTTGTATACAAATAATGTATTTTTGAGGTTACAAAATTCCAAAAATTCGTTAACAATGGAAAGAGCTAATATTCCTTCCGGTACCTTCAGAACAGTATCTAATGTGGCATTTTGTCTAATACTCTCGTAGTCATCTTCAAATGCTAAAAAAATATTTGCTCTTAGCAATGCCCGAATTTTTGCGAGTGAACCATTTTTCTCAAGCGCTTCCATAACTAAATCTCTTAGTTCAGTATCTTCTGATTGTGCCATATTTATTACAATTTTAGAAACACTTCCGCTAAACGTATTTTCTTAATTTTACAATATTTTCTTTAGAATCACAACAACATAGCAAGCAAGACTGGTTTCTTCTTTTTTAATTTATTGGCAATGGATGATTGGTACTTGGTACAGATTACAGAGTCAATGCCATAGAGTAACTTTGTATATAGGTCCACGCCTCTGAGTACTGAAATATATGGAGGTGGCACACCTACGAAAAAAACGTATATAAGGGTACGGCCAGAGTGCACTCAGATTCAGATTCAGACTCAGAAAACAAGCGCGAGAAATAAACAGTGTAGTTAAAGCAGGATGGCCATAGTGGCAGCAGGCAACCTGCTTATACTACACTGTATATTTCTCGCGCTTGTTTTCTGAGTCTGAATCTGAATCTGAGTGCACTCTGGCCGTACCCTAAAGTTACTGGGAAACGAAAATGGCGCCTTTACGTAGTACTGTTTGTTCACCGCTATCTTTATAAAAATAATAATAAGTAAATAAGTAAATTTATGACGATGTTTCTATATTCTTTAAAAGTGATTTTTGACATTGAGATTTTTCTAATATTGCTAGGATATCACACAATATATAGGGTGAAATTGAATGTTTTAATGAAACTTTATGAAACGTTACGTATATAGAGTATGCCTGATTTTTTTCGGATTTTTAAAGTATTTTTTTTTTCATGTTTTTATTTATAGTTTGTGTATTTTTATGTCCTTGCCTCCTTTTGAGTAGTTTATTCATTTTAAACACTCATACTTACATATTCAGTGAAAAATAAACTAATAAATAAGCACTAATATAGAAACTAAAAAACAGTAAAATTAAGCGGGAGCGGCCACCGCGGGTCAACGACCGCGCCCGCCAGCCGTTGAGTGAGTAGTAACACAGAGCTTAGCTGACGCGACACCTTTGATTCCACACAATACAATAAAACGTCATAGATGCCAAATTTTTTGAAATAATAAGCACAAATGTCATCTTCTCTTAAGCAGAGAAAACCCTTAAAGATAATAATCATTTTGTCGCGATAGGAAATAGGCAAATGTTAAGCTATAACAAATACTTATTGCAGTTAAATACTTGGGTCAGAATAAACTGTATAACCAGGTAATCAAAAGTACTTACGAGACCGATGTACCTATTAATTTTTTTACGGGGGTTTTCATTTTTCACTATAACTTCCCGTATACACTTTGTAAACAGAATCTATCACCAAACCTACTTTCGTAAATCCTTGTGGCTCTGCTGAGTATTTCGTGACACTACAATGAGGGCTATCGCGTATGAATCCGCCGCTAGAAACGCTAGTGTAGCGTGAGGTCTCCGAAATGTCAAATGTTATTGCTTGTTGGTTGACGACGCGGGTTTATTTCTTATTAAAATAATGTTGTGAATAATTGGTAACAATTCGCCTTAATTATGGCAAAAATGAGTTATGTGGCAATGAATGTCAGTTATTAAAAATTTGAGCTTAGAAAAATGATTATGTTCTCATTTTTTCCGAATAAAACGGAACTGGGCGTCACTGTGGCATGGCCTATTATGTTTAGGATATGGTTCTTTTGTGTTAAAATACGATCTAAATGTAACCTTTGATTTCAAGTGCGTATTAATAAACTTTAAAAGTTACAATTTAGGACCTCACTCAACAGTGGCGCCATCTGGTGAGACAGAAAACGGTAGCCCTAATTACAACGCACCATATGCAACTTCTTATATTAAGGCCACAGAATAAGAACTAATCAAGGCATTATTTGCAAATCTTGTCTTGTCACAAATTTAAAAGAGGTGCGTAGGTAGCACGCTCGGTGGATAGACTTGAGACAGCGCTCGCTCACTGCGCTTTGCACCGCGCATAGGTAGGTAGGTACAGATGCCGCGATGAGAGTTTGGCTTTGACCGTTATTGCGCAGAAGTCAGAAATTGGGTATCAGAGGGGAGGGCCGCGGGGCGGGTGTGTACAGCGCGGCGCCCTGATTGGTGTCCCAGTCGTTCTCTGCCTCTCGCACCGATACCACGTCCCGCGCACTCTGGTGTACATTCGCGTTCACAACTGATTTGATATTTTTGTTATTGTTTGTTAAGTTTTTTTGTTAAAGTTTTTCTGTTAAGTTTTTGTTAAATATTTAAAAGTGAACTAAACATGCGTAAAAGAAACATTGTTTTAAAAAGACAGGCACGAAAAATGGTGTATGACGTGCATTGTTATTTAAAGAAAGAAGCTGACGAATTTATAGATTCTTTGAAACAGATTCGTAATCAGATTGAAGAAGCCGCGGATACTTTACTAACTCCGTCGAACATCACGACCTTAAATTTAAACTCGATTACACAAACTGCTGAAGTCATGAAAAAGGAAACTGTTACTAAATTAAATTGTGTAATCAGTGAATTAGGTAAAATTCAAAAACGAACGTCAGAGGCCACAAAAACTTCAATTGGGACTGTAAAAAATATCTCAACTCAAGCCAAGAATTCAGACTTGATTATTACATTTAGGACACCCGGAAAAAAACGTCCAAGGTCTAAACCAGTTACTAACAACGACAATTTCGACCAAGGCGTTATAAAGAGATGTATACATAATTTTCACAAAACTAATAACGAACTTCCCACGATTGGAAAACTAAAAAGAAAGCTGGAGGATGATATAAACTTTCAGGGCTCAGAAACAAGCCTTCGAACTATTGTCAAGGAGCTAGGATTTCGGTGGAAAAAGACGGAAAACAACCGTAAAATATTAATCGAAACATCAAACATCAGATTACAACGTATCGAATACTTACGTAAAATTAAAAAATAAAGGGAAGAGGGAAGGCCCATTGTATATACGGATGAATCCTACGTAGATTCATCGCACTCTACAACCAACGCTTGGAGCGATGGTCCTACGGAGGGCATCATAAAACCGATATCCAAAGGACAACGAGTGGTGATAGTCCACGCAGGATCAGAAACTGGGTTTATACCGAATGCGTTACTGACTTTTAAAGCCGGTACTAAAACCGGAGACTATCATGACAATATGAATTATGAGAATTATGAAAAATGGCTCAGATCTCAATTAATACCAAACCTACCACCCAATTCTGTTGTGGTAGTCGACAATGCGTCCTACCACAATAAACAATGGGATCTAGCACCGACCTCAAATTCAAAAAAAGCGGACATGCAGGCCTGGCTCACAAGTAAACAGATAAATTATGATGCATCAATGCTAAAATCCCAGTTATACGGTTTGATAAAAGCTAATAAAGAAAGATTCAAAACATTTTCAATTGACCAAATTTTGGCAGAAGCAAACCACAGCATATTAAGACTGCCTCCTTACCATCCAGACCTTAACCCGATTGAAATGGCATGGGCTACTATTAAACAATATGTGGCTAGTAGAAAAGTAAAATGGAATATTACAAAATGTACGGAACTCATTAAAGAAAAAGTTTCGCTTATGGGTGTTCAGGAATGGGAAAAGTTATGTAAAAAGGTGAAAGATATCGAAGAAGAATTGGGGAGAATGACCACGTTATTGATTTATTAACAGAGCAATTTATTATTCGCGTCGACGACAGTTCCGACTACGATGAATCTGATGATGATGATGATGACAACTGCGACCTGGGAAGCCCTGAGCCCGAACCCTCAACAAGCAAAAGACGTTGCACAAGCTCCTATCAAGACAGCTCCGCTGGAGCTAGCTGTGATTTTATGGTTGGCATCAAACCATTATCTGACTCAGATTAAATAAAATATTTTATAATAAATATTCTTTTTTTTTTAAGAATTCATAACACCTGTCAATTATGTTTATCAAGTTCGTATTATTTTCTAAGCATTATAACTACTCACCAACATGCCCGGTCAGCGCGATGTATTACTTACGACCCATATCTACACCTTCCTATGGGTGAGTGAAGGCCTGTGCTCCAATAGTGGAAACATTTAGACAGGTGATGACGATGACTTTTAACAGTTAAAAATTACGGTACATTGTCACTTAACATCCAGAAGTGGACGTCCTATGGCTGAAATGATGATGATGATGATTAACACAGATTTATTTTAACCGTTAAAACAATTTTGACTTTTATTGTAACCGCTTAAAAACTAGTTTTATTTAAAACAGAACACAACATATACGAGTAGATATTTATCATCAAAGAAATGGATCAGTTCCTTACATAAAAAAAGAATGCCTATTGTCAAATTAGATTCGCTAGAGTATGACATAGTTACCATTCATAATAAATAAAACGATTAAAACAGTCATAACTGACTGATTGATTTTATTTACGACAAATTTTCAAAGTGCTTTCGACCGCTTACACTCCTAAAACTAGTGTTTTCTGTAGTTTTTGTTTCGGCCGGCCTTAATTTTTCCTGCTTCCGCGTTGGTTTCACGAGTGTTGGTGTCTTCTTTTGCCACCGTGTATAAAATAAATTATGATTTTCTAATAACTGTAGGATTGTATTGTATTTTTTTATTAACAACACTAAATGGACTGTATCCATTGTCATCCAGTGTTGTTAATAAAAAAAAACTATGAGCTCCTCAAAGATATTTACCTTATCAAATTCATCATGTTTAGCAATAGATGGAATCTGATTTTGGTCTATTTTTGTTAAAGTACTGGATGAACTGGATTGAGATTCTCGCTGAAACATGAATGATAAGTATAAAATTGAACATTATTGAAGGTAAAATCTACATACAACATGATTTCAGAAAAAGGAGTTCGGTTAATAATAAAGTCAGTTTACTTGAAATTCGATATGAATTTTCAACACAATTAATGAAATTGGTATATAAATCTAAAAAAAATACTAGAAAAATAAAAAAAAACGTAGTTAATTGCTTTAAATAAAAATATAATTCAATAGGAAATATAATTACAATTATATTGTATGACAACCTAAAAAACATAAAACTGAGTAAAACACGGGGTTACCAAATCTTTCCACCGGTTTTCTGACTCGTATAC